AGAGAGTAGGAGAGGGAGAGAGAAAGAGAGAGAGAGAGCGCTAGGCAAGGGTGCGGGGAACGCGCAGAGGTGTATACGTGACACACGAGGAAAGAAACAAGAGAAAGATTGTCTGGCTGCGCTTGCGATATCGATTCGCAAGGGTGGTTCGAAATGGCAACGACCCTACCAATGTCCCGTCTTTCGATTCGAGTTCGTTTCTCATCTAGTTTCGTTTCGCGAGCGCCGCCACCACGCGATTTGCGTGCTTCCAAATTTTATCGACACTGCCCGATTCCGCGCAATAATATCCAATTCGGCTCCTTTCATTATCGCGATAGAGCGACGAAAGGAGCGCATAAAATGATGAAAAATAACACGATATGCTGATCAAAGATAATCTGTCTGGTAGCAAAGCGCAGGCGTTGCGACGCGTAATCACTCGCACTTACCTTGACATCCTCGCTCGACAACAACCACGACGCATGGACGAAGCGACAATGATGACGATGGCGACGACACAGCGTGAGAGAAAGGGGTAGAGATCCGTTTGCGACAGTACGCGAGTAGACGTGCGACTTCGCCCGTACGTAGCACTAGGACGCCATGTCAGCAAATCCAGGCGCGGACGAACTCTCGGGGCAGATACGCATACGCACGACCGAACACGTACACGTACACGCCGCCAGTTGTGTATACTTCGACAAGCTTCGTGCGCGAGAACGAGACAGAGACTCGGAGCACGCACACCACGCCGTTGACCAACCCGCGCGCTAGCCGTGCCGGGGAATTTCTGCTGCGCCACCGAACAGCGCCGTCACGGAACCTCGCCTACGCCCGCCTAAGCTTGCCAGCCACGGCCGTGTCTTCCACTCACAGTACCCTTCACTGTCGTGCCACACCGCACCGCGACGTAGGCAGCAACAGCGACAGCGCGATGTACACCCGCCCAAACGAAAGAACAAATGCTCGCCTCGCTTGCGCGCCCTCGTTTAACCGAACGAACCACCGAGCCGACGACGACCGAGCCGAGCCGAATCCAAGTCCAGTCCGAAATCGTGCGCGCTCCACAACTTCCCGTAAGAGCGCAAACTTGTACCACCACCGCCACCTAGAAACGCGATGCAAGGTGCCACGCACGCGGAGCTCCCCCACTACACCCTCTCGCACTCTTTACCCTGCCGAGCTCTCGCGCTCACTTCCCCACCCCCGCACCCTACGCAGCGCTTCTCTGTCCCTCCCCAGCCCGTCTGACATCCCTGACTAGCTCGCGCTATCCTCACGGCCTCTCGATCCCTCTCTCTTCCTCCGCTGCGTCTCCTTGCGCGGCAACGCGTTTCTCCGTCGTATTCACGAAACTCCCCCTGTCCCTCACTTCACCCTCTCCATGTGTTCTTCCTCGTGTCAGCCCCCGTAAGAAGAGCGGACGACTCATTTCCTCTCTCGTTCTTATTATATGTTGTTCTTTTTGACGTTCACGAGACAAACCCTATCTTGTTTCTCTTTCACTCTCACCCTCGATCATCCTCGAAAAAAGGCACTCATTTCGCCCTTTTCTTTTTACATTCTTGAATCCAAGTCGGTCATATTTTTTCTCTGCCCTCGCAAAGCCCTCGGTCGATATTTTTTCATGAACGCACCCTTTTCTCGCAAACTCGATTACAAATAGCATTCTTATGCTCGTTTCTTATCGAAGAAAATGCATAAAACAGGAGAAATCGTGCACAAATATTAATCGTTATTGCTAAAATTTCAGCGGAGCAACCGCAAAATTTTAGAGACTACCCTTTAACCTTGAAATCGGTTCTCGCGAAACTCGAGAAACTTCGTTCTCCGTCATGAGTGTCGACCACTTTAGGGGGAGGGGAAGGGTATGGGACAAGGGTCAAGGCGACAGACGGAGAAGCAGAGACCGAAGTTCTTTCTTGAGGGGTAGAGAGAGTGGGGATAGATCAGCCTCGAACCATGCGGGGATGTATTCAGAAAGGAATGTTATGAGGTGACTCTCACCATCTTCTCCCCTGACTGCGAGACAGGAAATTCGCGAACGCGAAATGGATAAGGGAAGAAAGAGAAACAGAAAAGAAGATAGTGATGTCGTCGCAGTTAGCAGTGAGAGCGATTCGCGCGCCTGCGCACTTTTTTCGCCACGCTACGGCGGCAGCGGCGGCGGGGACAGCCACGAACCACGTTCGTCTCTCTCTCTTTCTCTCTCTCTCTCTCTCTCTCTCTCTCTCTTTCTCTCTGCTTCTTATTCTCTCAAGCGGCGAATAAGTTCCGCGGTTCGTAATCTACAAATATTATTCCAGCTCCATCCAGGAAAAAGATCTTTCTCTCCTGTTCCAGCAGGCAAAACTGCCTCCGCGCTATCCTGAAAACTCGTCCAATCGCGGAGCTCCGAGCTGGCCGTGCAAACTTCCACCATCTCGACGATTCGTATGAAAGGAGCACTAAAGAGGGAAAGAAAGAAGGCAAAGATGCATGACTGAGAAAGAGAAAGAGAGAGAGAATGAGAGAAAGAGAGGCATTGTAGGTTGTGTTCTAGAACGGCGAGGGAAGTGCGAGAAAGCCCGTGGAGAGGAAGTTTGCTCTGTAATTACCGCGCGCTGCACAATTAAAATCTTAATCTCCCCCGCGCAAAAATGGGACAAACTCCATAACGTCATCATGCCGCGGAAAATTCCTCAACCGGTGCCGTCGTACTTTCGCCGGACTTAGATGCATACACACAGCCCGTCCTCCCAGCGAGATTTCATCCGTTGCGAAAGAATCTCATGAATGCTACAGCGACGTAAGTGTCCAATGAGATGTATTCAAGACGTTGCGCCGGTGCGCATATTAACCCGACTATATATATATTCTAGGCGTAGAATTTTGTAAAAAAGCGTGTAATTAAAATATGCATTATTCATGCGTGTCGCGGATGATTTACAAATCTGTTTATTTCAACAGCAGCGAATCTACATAATTAAAAAAAAGAGTTCCGTGTTCTCGTAACACATAAATTAATTTGATTATCAGTTACAATTCTTTCATCTCGTCTCGCGCTTCCTCGTGATTTTTTCATTACCGCAGAGATCTCAGATTGCTGGGCAATGATATATATTTATGGAAGGGTTCCGTAATATTAGCGCTCCGACAATGGTCGATTCGTCGGAATCGTAAAACTTAAGAACGCCGCCGAATTCACGAGGCTCTCGGGTTAATAACATAAAGCTCGGCCTGTAATTAACACGAGCGGAGAAAGTCGGAAAATAATATCTTGCCGAATTCCGTGGGACTCCGTTGGGATATCGTTTCACGGCCGAGCAGTGACCCGGGGCACTTTGGAGGCTGGTTATCGAGACCCGGGGAGTTTCTTAATCTGCTCGTAAGTCAGGAGGGTTCCAAGCCAACGAGCGAGGCGTTGCCCCAGGAGTGCGATTCAGCTTTTCAACTAAGCTCGTATTACGGCCCTGGCCTGCTCGAGCCTGCCGTCTTCGACGCTGATGTGATTTTTCACTGCGTTCCTCAAGATAATTGGGAACTCTTGTACCGTACATCGCTGCTCCAACTATGCGCGATTATTTTGCCGTGACCCTCGTGAAATAGTTTAAGCTGCGAGTGTAATACGTCGTACCTACCTCGAATCCACTACGTGGATGTAATAGTGAGGAGATACAATAAATAAGCATAAAGCTTTTTATGGGGAATGATTTAGGTGTGTAATAAATAATTTTGGATTTTTGTTTCCAACAAATCCGTCTACTTTTTTTGTCAGGTAAAGCGCAGTTTGATTAACGCGCAAATTAAATATTCGTTTGCCGAAATTGTAATCAAGTTTCACCCGTATCACGATTTTTTCATGTTGCGTAACAATATGATGCGCAAAAAACAATAATACCATCTATTGAAAAATTCTAAATAAGAAAGGAGATACCGTGAGAATCGATATTTTACTATATATTTGTTATAAAATCTTTGCTATTAATATTTGTAATAAAATTAATACAGTTTTGTAATAATATTCTCATTTTATCATATTTAACAATAAATCTAGCAAAACATTATTTTTATAACTTCCTGATTCCCGACCCGATTCCAATATAAATCTAGCGACGTTTCGTCGCAAGATGCATCTCATAATCATGAAAGAGGAAGCAAGCTTGTAATTAACCGTTTAGCAAGCTATCATCATACAGAGCAATCTATGTTGCGTTATCTTTTCGCTTTCACTTGCAAATTACAATTCATAATTTCAGAACTGTTGCAGCTGCGGCACGGAATACCGTTTGTCTCGTTCGCGAATCATACCGATGCGATAGCGCGTATTATTCTAAACACGAAGCGCGCATCCTATTTGTATTATTAATGAGAATAACGAGCGTGTAACGCGCAACACCGCAATATCGCATTCTGTGCTGTTTTCACGCACCGTTTCGCGGTAATACGCCGTTATGCGCGTAACGGACCCGATTTCGCGCGAATCGCGATTTCCAGACAGCAATACGAGATAGAGAGCCATTAATTACGAAAAGAGCATTAGAGTTCGACGCGCGAAATGCGAACTTTCCGTTCCCCGGGAGTTCCGCAAGCAGTCGTCCCGCGAGCGCGGCGGTAAGTAGGGCGCGAACTCGTAACGGCATTAATATCGAATCACTCGTTCGCGTTCAAGTTGGATGAATTGCACCAAGCACCTCCCACGCGGAAGAACGAAAGCTCGGTTCGACTAAAAGCTCCACGGAGTAAATCCGAGCCAGTAATTCCGGAAGGAGTTTTGAGCTTTGCCAGGGATTTGTTTCGGGGATTCTTCACGCTGGCCTTTACTCAGTGCGCGGTTACCGACAATGACGACATACTAATTTATATAATTAATAATATGGAAGCCACTTTTGCGCGCACTACATCGCCACGATGTGCAAAAATAATTTTCGAAATGTAATTTCGTCAATATTCAATTATATTTCCGTGACAATTATATTTGACGATCGTCAAATCTATTAAAAATTAAAAATAAATTATACAATCTAGTTTTTAAACAAAGTCTCTGCAATTAAATATTCAAGAAAAAAGTAGGTAACATTATGTAATTTCAAAAGCCAAAATTTTCTGACAGATATGTGAGCAGAAACGGGGGGAAAAAAGAACTGAGCTATTAAAAGAAGGGCTTGGAAGAAAAAACGGTGTATCATGGAAACTTTGGGATTTTACATTTCAGCCAGCGCGCAACGATTCTGAAAAACTCGTTCGCTATAATCTTTTCTAACTCCTTCGCTCACGAACGAATGTCGAATGTTAACGCGCTTAACTAACTTATCTCCCGCGTTTCTCCATCCGCAGAAGATTGTGTGTGCGCAAGCACGAAAGTCGACGACAGGCGCGTACTCTGTCGCAGAGCCGTCTCTTTTTCTGTTCTCGTAATTACTTAATACATTATTAATAGACGGCTGACTTTACATAAGCTCCAGGGGAAAGTCGGAAAATTTCGAGACGAGAAGTTAAGCAGATTGCCAAGACTGGACATTTGCATACTAGCGTCGCATCCCCGCCGCCATGCCGACAAAGTCCTGCCTTCGTTTCGCCGCGCGTAGTCATAGTAACACTTTCGCAAGCGAAGTGCTATGTTACCAGATGAATCTCTCGACTTTCAAGAAGTTTTCGATAATGAACTGCCAATAACATAAAGTTGAAATAAAATTATATAAAATGCGAAAAAACATAATAAAAAAAAGAGAAGAAAAATATTACACGCGACACTCACACCCTCTTTCTCTCGCAAAGACACTCTCTTATATTTTTCTTTACCAGAATTTGTCTTCTCGGAACATTTTCCGCTTGTAAAATTCAAATATAATAAAAATGCCATTTTATTTCACGCTCGACGGTATGCAGAATAAACGTAAGAGCGTATTTTCCTTTTTCGAAGCAGCAGTAAGATGATTTTAAGACGCGGATTTGCGCGCTTTAACTATTGCTCGAGGAGTCGTTCGCAAAATACGACACCATCAACGGTGGGTAGACATCCAACCCTTGAAAGGAGGACAGTGGAGCTCCAGTGTAACTTTAGTGGTAAATTGGAGGTAATTTGCGAGAGAGGCGGTC